ACAGAAAGAAAGAAAGAAAGAAAGAAAGAAAGAAAGAAAGAAAGAAAGAAAGAAAGAAAGAAAGAGAAGGAAAGAAAGAAAGAAAGAGAAAGAGAGAAAGAAAGAAAAGAAGGAAGGGAGGGAGGGAGGGAAAAAGAAACTGATTCAAAATACAGGCACAATTTTAATTGTTTATCACCACAGTACACTAATTAATCATATTATGTTAGCTGGTAATAAAAAACAAAATTATTTTTGGCTTAGGGGAACACAAAAGACTTTTCAGAAGAGAAGGCCCTTATTTTGGGACTTGACATATGTCGGATAAGAAAATGCTGGTGAATGGGAGATCATTCCCAGTAGAGAACATGATAAATGAAAACATGAACCATAACTCACTGTGCTTCTTTCCACACATCCATCCACTTATTCACTCGACAAACATTTACTGAGTGCCAACTATATGCCAGGAATTGTGCTAAATTCTGTATATGCCACAATGAAGTGCAATCGCTGCATTTATCAAATTTATAATCTGGGCTGGGAGACAAACACTAAGCAAGTGTGGAAAATCAAAACAAAAAATTCAAATAGTCATTAAGGAAATGAAAACTGTAATGTGATTTTTTTTAAACAAGGTCTAATGGTCAGATCCTGAAAAACACAAGAGCAGACGTCCCAAGGCAGGCAGCCTAGTTGTTTGCTTTCAGTATAATGGACCCCAAGGGGACCATGGAACAGGATGAGATTAGAGAAAGATAACAAAGGCCAGAGAAAATATCTTGGGAGTGAGGTAAGAAATTTGGATTATATTCCTAATGCAAAGGAAAATCCCAGGAGGATTTTTCACAGGGGAGGAATATGATCCAATTTGACTTAAAAAAAAAATTATTCTGGCTGCTCTGTGGAGATTCTTCGAGGAGGTAAGCGTGAAAGAAGCAGCCCAGTTAAGAGAAATGTGCACTAATTCAGGTAAGAGGGGATGGTGGCTGTCATATATGGGGGCTCCTCTAGAGACAGAATCTGAGATGGGGATTCGAGTGCAGGCAGTTTATTTGGGAGGTGATCAGAGCTATGTGGCATAAAGAAAGTGAGACAGGGAAGGAAAACTCCCAATAAAAAGTACATCATCAAACAAGTCACTACTGTGGGAAGCTAGAACTTAATATCACTGGGATCCCTGGAAACCAGTGTAGAATGCACACTCAAAATTGTCTCACAACAGAGGCAAAGAACTAGAGTGCACCAGTTCCCTTCATTCATTGACTGAGAACTCCTAGCAGGTAGGATTTCTCCAACTCTTCTTGGGGGATGGGGCAGGGCAGACTAGATGTCAGACCCAAATAATACCTCAAGCAAAGAAATTAGCAGGTGGAAATTGGGTTTCCTGCACTGAATTGTTAAGGCCTGAGGAGGTATGAGTAGGATATTGACAGCATCTGCTACAACGGCTTAAACTGGCCTGTGTGCTAAGATGACCATCTTTCTTCTTTACTCAGCTCTAGAGGAAGCCTTAAATGCCACACAAACTGATCCTCTCCCAGCTCCAGCCACAGCTGATTGGATGAGGAATGAATGAGTGACTCTAGAAAGTCCAATCTGATTCTCTCTGATAAAAAAAAAAAAAAAAATCAAATTGGACCTGAAGCATAGAGTTAGTTAGATCTGAGAAGATATGCTAGAAGGGTATATTAAGTGAAGGGCTAGGACTGCCTCTTTGCAGCAAATGAAGAGCCACGTGTTAGCTCATGAGTGAACAAAGAATTGGGTCTCACAGAGAGTTATTCAACAGATGTTTACGAAGCATCTACTATGTGCTTCATGTTGAGGTTCTGAAAATGAAGACGACTGATATGTATCTCCAAGAAACTCTGTGAAGGAGATACAAAGACCAACAGAATACAGTAATAGCACACAATAGGATGTATAATTTGCCAAGGGCATTTCTCAACCTACCTTTGTCAACTGCAAAGTAATCATTCCTTGGATCAAGTTCAAAGGTTAAATCCCCCAGGTTATCATCATCTGTTGCCTGGCATACTCCAATCCTCTTCCCAATAGGAATTTCTTCATCCAGTGTGATGTCAAATTTATTGTGCCGAGTTGAGTTTATAGAAGTCACACTCGAGACAGCATTTTCAATATTTAATAAACTTGTTTAAAAAGGAAAGATTATGAGAGTGGCATTTGCTTGCTGTGTATTATTTTCCACACCTTGTGAAGGCAAGAGTAGGAGGTTGGAGATTGCAATGATGAGAATGAAAATGGTGGCCATAAGTTTAACAACCAACCCATTTATTGAGCACTTACCTACAGTTTGGACAGACTCCTAAGCATTTTTTAAGAGTTATTGCATTTATTCCTCCCAGCAACCCTAGGAAGTAGGGCCATTTTTTGCCTCCATTTTATAGACATGGAAATGGAAATTTTAAGACATTAGGGTAAGTTTTAGAAATAAGTATCAAGGTGGCTGACAGAGGATTTGACCCGGAGCCTATCTGGCTCTAGAGCCTATATGCTTAATCACTGTGCTCTTATCCTTCCGTAAGAACCAGCTTCTTACTGGTTCTTATGCTGAATCACTGTTGACCCTCAATATGGTTTTTAAAATTTCTTCATGATAATATTAGCCAGAATCTCCTTTGAGGGTAGAGAGAGATAATCCAGCACAAGTCAGACACTAAGAACATATTGCACTAACACCACCTCATTCCATTGCAATTTCAATACACTTTATACTTTAAAACCATTTTGCTTTCAGTTTTTAAGGAAACCCTTTTTAAAAAATCTTACATCTTAAAGTGGTTGTTTACATCTCACTTGTTTATTTTCCTTCTCAGAAAATAACAAGCACAGAAAACAAAAAAAATTAATAATGAATCTGCAAAACATTTTCAAATTCAATTTTCAAGGTCAAACTAAAATATTATGTTTTATGATCTTACCTACAGCTAAGAATGGGGTCCTTATTGTTTACATTGATGAGAAAAATCTTTAGATTTCCAGCTGTGAACAGTCCTCCAGGATCAACCACTTTAATAACCAGTGAAAAACTGAAAACGCAGCCACAAGAAAGACAGCTGAGATTTTATAGAAACTAACAGGCTTTCACAGGAGTAGAATCTGATCAGCTAAAACAATCGATTCATCTAGTTAAAATGTCAATCAAGCCAGTTATTTTAACGGTTAGAAATGGCTAATATTTTGTTAAGGACCATATCAGTCAAGTAAGTTGAAAGGACAGGCAGGAACTTAGAAAAGTCTGTTAATCTCCATAAACAATAAAAAGGCAAAGGGAAATCCTTAGCGTGTTATAGCAAACAGAGCTTATGGCTATGGGTTCTTACCTTCCAAACACTGACATTTCAATTTTGAAAACAGACAAATGCAAAGGAGAAGGTGTTAAGAACATTTCAAAACAATTTAATAACTATGAGGAAATACTGGGACAGTTAGATGGCTAACGGGTTTTTATTTTAACAGAGATATGTAGGGGTTTGAGGCATAAAAGTGCTTGAAATGATGAAAATGAATGTCTCCTAATGGAAAGACAAATGTTCACATCCTTAAAGTATGCTCTTGTGTGGTCAACTCTCCCAATTGGCCCAGGACTGCCCGGGTCCAGAGATTTAGCACTGTGAATCTCCCATCCCAGAAGACTCCTCTGTTCCAGCCAAACTGAGAGAGTTGGTTTACTCCCTCAGAAAAATAAAAAATCTCTTGAAATGTCCAACTAAGACCAAACTGATTGTTTTTTCTTCTATTTGTCCTAAAAATTAACCCAGTCTTCAATATCGCTCTTATTTCATCATTTTTCCTACAAGAAGATAATCTATGAGATACTCTTGATAAAAACTACAAGTCAATCACTGTTAAAGATAAAGACATTTAAAAATAATTCTGGGAAGTCTTAACTACAAGAATAGAAAGAATAAGGTGTGGACAAGATCTGCAGCACTAACGAATTCAAGTTACATCAGGTCTAGCTGAATGCTGGAGAGTTGATGACAGCAAGGAAGGAAGAAAGCAGTGAGCCTTTCTAACACGTTCATCAGGATTTGAACAGTGACTTCATGGCCTCTATATCTCTTTTGAAAGGAGAGAATTGATAAAAATCAATGAAGCATTTCAAAATTTCCTTGACTCTCACTTAAAGATCTGCTCAGTGACCTTAGAAGCTCTGCAGCTAAGAAGAAAATTAAGGAATAGTGTGCTCTCTGTAAAACTTTAATGAGAACCCATTGCACAGCTTTAGTGGAATACTTATTTATTCATATTCTGCAAACAGAGGTTACGTTATCCCATGTCAGCTCCTCTAATTTAAACAATACTGAGAAAAAAGGAAAGATTTATACCTTGCATGTGCATAATCACTCTTCCATGAGGTATACAAGGCCAAAAAGAAAAGAAAAGAAAAAAAACATAATGCAGGCCGGGCACGGTGGCTCAAGCCTGTAATCCCAGTACTTTGGGAGGCTGAGGCGGGTGGATCATGAGGGCAAGAGATCGAGACCATCCTGGTCAACATGGTGAAACCCCGTCTCTACTAAAAATACAAAAAATTAGCTGGGCATGGTGGTGCGTGCCTGTAATCCCTGCTACTCAGGAGGCTGAGGCAGGAGAATTGCCTGAACCCGAGATCGCGCCATTGCACTCCAGCCTGGGTAACATGAGTGAAACTCCGTCTCAAAAAAAAAAAAAAAAAAAAATGCATAACATCCATTATTCCCAGAGCGATTTATAAGATAATTTAAATAATTGTTTGTCATGGAGCAGAGCAGTGGGATTAAAGGAAAATGGATAAAGATTTTGGCAATTTCTACTCAAAAATTATATAAAGATAATGCAAATTTAGGCATACTCTTCAGCTGACTTGAAGAAGTTGTCAGAAGAAAGTATATCCCTTTTTCTGGCTGGGCGTGGTGGCTCACACCTATTAACCCAGCACTTTGGATCACCTGAGATCAGGAATTAGAGAGACCAGCCTAGCCAACATGACAAAACCCCATCTCTACTAAAAATACAAAAATTAGCTGGACGTGGTGGTGCATGCCAGTAATCTCTCAGCTACTCAGGAGGCTGAAGCAGGTGAATCACTTGAATCCAGGAAGCGGAAGTTCCAGTGAGCCAAATTCGCACCGCTGCACTCCAGCCTGGGCAACAAAGTGAGATTCCATCTCAAAAAAAAGAAAAGAAAAGAAAAGAAAAGAACAGAAGAGAACAGAACAGAACATCTCGGTTTTGAACTCCAAATCTGTTTCAATGAAAAGTAATCTCATATGATGTGTGGGCAGCTAGTCTCCACTGGACTTCTCTTCTAAAGATGCTAACACTTAGGATATATCCCATCCTCAACTTTCATAATAGAAAATAATCTCTTATCAGATTCAAGAGCAATATGGTTAAAGGTCCATTTCCTTTTCCTATGAAGCACATTGACACAAAACATATGATTGAAAAGGGGTGGTCACAAAAATCCCTATAAAAATAAAAATAATAACTTGAACCACTGGTTACCCCCTTGGCAGATGTGAAAAATATAAGAAAACATCGGTGTATTAGCTTTTTAAAGATACTGTATTACACTGAATGAATTCTGTGTCACAGGTATCCAGAGAGGAGTGCCCACCTACTTCCACAACAGGATGCAAATGCCACCCCCAAAATAATCCTGGCTTCACTCCGAGAAAAGGGTGAGGCAGAAAGGAGCTGCAACAGCCAAGTCTGGCATGAACCAGCTACCATGCAACTATAGGTTAAGTGATGATTTCATTAAAAACAAACAAACAAACAAAAAGATGACAAAAGCATCTTAATTTGGGGAGCACATTAAGAGCAGATGAGGGAAAATATTCATGAAAAAGAAAATATGAACCAAAGAACTGTCATTTCAAATGAAAACCCAGTAGCAGTATTTACCTTCTAGATTCACTTTCAAAATCAAAAACTGCTGCTGTGGAAATTGTTCCAATGCCATCGATTGTGAAGCCAGAGCCCTCCGGGGAAATGAAGTACTGTTTATTGGACAGTAAAGAGAAAGCAAAATATTGCAGATACATCAACTACTTCCCTGGCAAGATTCCACGCCTCTCTAAAAACCAGGCCTGAAATCTCTTTGTGCTCTGAGCCCATCCCCACTCCCCGACCACCCCTATATATGATAAATGCTCAGTAAATGCTTGTCATTGATGATGATGATGATGATGAAACTATATTCCATTCAACCAATTTCAAGTTTCAATTCTTTCAAGTTTTTATTCTTTTTCAAGAATAGAAAAATGAATTTTCCTATTCTCTTACGTTCAGTATATTATCTAAACATTTATCACAATGTTTCACCCAATGCTAAAATTAAATAAAAAGGAGTTCACATTTAGAGAAACAGACTGACTGTTTAACGAGAACTCAGGGATAATTCAGTTTGTTTGCTTGTTGATGGAAAGGATGGGCTTTTGTGGAGAGGGAGGTCGTGGAGCTGAAGAAGAAAAAAATATGAAATACTGAGAAGACTGTTCATCTGAATTTTTATGTGTAGGCACAGGTAATATTTTATCAAGTTGTTTTCTTAACCTCTCATTAGCTTTCATTTACACTGCCTTCCAGTTATTCTGTTAAGTGCTTCAAATAAGTCATCTTTTAATTCTCACAGTAACTCTATGTCATAGATACTGATATTATCCCTATCTCACAGATAGAAACACCGATGCTTAGAAAATTCAAGTGGCTTGTCCCCAGTCTGAGAGCTGAGTCTTTCATCACTTTACATAGTGCCTCTCTGTTCCCCGCATTGTATCCCTAAGACAAACTTCTCAAGAAAGACAGCAGGGGAAGTCAGGGTCTCTAATCTAGGTGAGAATCAAATGACTAGAAAAAGCCAGGGCAAAAATCCGTCAGAGAATTAATATCAGGAGTTCATTACACTGAGTGCTATGTATTTAATAATTGTGTAGACACAGAGATCATTTAATCGAGAAGATTAAGCCCATGAGAACTGCAAAGCAACCTCAAAATCTTTTGGAGAAACTAGTGACCTTTTAATTTATCGACTTTCTGATGAATCATTATGTTCCGATTCATTTTAAATTATACCATCCTTTTCCATACATATAAATAAGATGGACTTGATTTTGGCTCTTTCTTTAGAACAATGCAGAATATTAGCATTCAGGAACACAGGCAAATCCATCACATATTTACTTTTCAGGCAAATGCAGGAATAATAATGCCTGTTTCATGGAGAAAGGATGGAAGAGGGTTGTGTTTAAATTACCTGAGAGTACTCACACACACTGGGTCTGGTTATATATAAATATGCATAATTTTTAAAAGATGCTTGCATTTATGTTTATAGCCATTCCAAAATTTGCAGTTCCAAATTCAATTTCAGTGTCACACAGTTGTCAATAATTGTTTGGGAGCAATGTAAGTTGGGAAGCTACATCTTCATGAGGTTTAATTTTTCATAAAATTCAATGTTCTTTTTTAAAAAAAATTTGATGACACTGATATGAACAACTCCTGCCATCCTTTAGGGAAGGGTTGGAGATGGTGGTTGCTAGGCAGCCAGGGCCATCACTGGGAAAGCCACCTAAATGAAACATTCCCCCCAACAGGAAAGCAGTCCTAAGGATGAGAAATTAACTCTCTGTGGGGCCAGGCAACTTAGATTCTTTTCTCATTTGTTATTTTCCCCTCCCATTGTATCTGTAATGATACCATCAACTAGTAAAGAAATATTTCAGCCATCAAATAACAATGGCAACCCAACTCCCAGGTTCTGAAGCATGAGAACAGAATACAGGGGAGAATTTGTGTCAAAAGGAGCCATCAATTATTCTGGATGGACTTATCTACAGAATTCACTTTATTCCCATCTCTGAAAGGCTTGTTCATGACTATTTGCTTTTGGAGAAGCTTGGGAATTGGAAATGTCAGAGCCCGAACTTCAGGTCAAACACAATGAGAAAAGTTAGAGCCTCTCCAAATGCTTGCAAGCTCAATGCTTCAAGAGCAGGGACAGGCCAGGAGCAGTGGCTCATGCCTGTAATCCCAGCACTTGGGGAGGCTGAGATGAGTGGATCATGAGTTCAAGAGATCAAGACCATCCTGGCCAACATGATGAAACCCTGTCTCTACTAAAATACAAAAAACTAGCTGGGTGTGGTGGTGCATGCCTGTAGTCCCAGCTACTTGGGAGGCTAAGGCAGGAGAATTGCTTGAACCCAGGAGGCAAAGGTTGCAGTGAGCCGAGATTGCAGCACTGCACTCCAGCCTGGGCGACAGAGCGAGACTCCATTTCAGAAAAAAAAAAAAAAAAAAAAAGTACATGAAACATATGCTTGCCCTTGAAAGCCTGAGACTTCAAATGAAATCCTTTTTCCTTTCCTCCAGAGTATATTTGATCCCTCTCATACATTCACTTTATAAGCAATAGGAATGGTTTTTCACCTATACACTTCCACTGGACTATTAGAGGCATCATCCTTCCTAGCACAACTCCTTATTAACCGTGCTAATACACTTATAGCTAGCTATAAAGCTAGAGACCTCTATGCAAGGTTTCGTTGTAGTATCTTTGCTTGCTGAACCCAGACTAAGTCTCAGAATCCTTCTCAACACTCCTGAGAGCCTCTATCCATCAATACGAGAATGTATGCAAGTGGAATCTGATTTGCCATCCCTGACCTAGCCAGATGGTCTCAGTGGACTTACCCAAGTGTTTACTGTTTCCCTGATAGCAGCTAAGGCATCTGAAAATAAATATAATATGTACAGAACTACTGAATCATAATACTTGGTGTAGGGGGGCCTAGGAATGTTAATTTCTAGCAGGCTGACCAAAGTAATATTGACGTACTCTAAATCTGGTTCTTTTAAAGTAATTTTCAACTTGGCTATAAAATAGAACCACTTGAGAGCTTTAAATGGGACAATGTCCAGAACACACCTGAGACCAATGAAATCAGAATTTTGGGAGCCTAACGTGGGAACAAATATTTGTTAAACTGTATAATTTCACAGTGCAGCCATGTCTGGGATCTTGCTATAGCACATCTACTTTTTGCACCTCAATCCAGTAATCTATTTAAGACCTGTATCTTTCATGGATCTGAGTAGACCAGTATTCATCATTCTCTCACATGTTCCCATTAGATGGCTTAGCTCTGCATGATCTAAAACTTGGTTCATATAGGTTCTCTTGCAGCCCAGTGGCCTTAATTTTTGGTATGTGTCTTAGGGTTTCCCCAGAAACAGACCCTAAGATGAAAATTTGTGTGCAAGTGCTTTAGTAAGTGCTTCAGAAAAACTGTGGAAGAGGGATTGAGATGGCAAGGAAGCCAGGCAAAAATTTGATTGCAAAGTCCCACAGATGCAGCTTTAGCTTGGCCCTATAAGCAAGCTCAGGAGTGCACATTCTGTCTCAGAGCTGTCTCCATGCAAGGAAAAGAGGTGGGGCTTTCATACTCCTTCAGCGGTTAAGGGTTACTCCAGGGAGATGTAAATTCCCACGTACTTTTCGCTTTTCAATCTGCAAGAAACACCCAAAGGCAGCCGTCTCTTCTGGCTGATGGAAGTAGAAGCACACTGAAGTTGGTACAGAGTGGGGTGAACCACACAAAAACGGCAAAAATGTATCCAAAGGGATGTGGGAAGACCATGGATATTGTCCTCTGCATTATCTGAAACTTCCTTTCTTATAGAAGCTGAAATAATTCTTGGGCTGAATCATACTAGGAAGCAAAGTTAGTTACCACATTAAGAAATCAATCACCTTATAGGTGAGTGCCATTTAATTCTGTCCCTCCCATATTCTTTGGTAAGTCTGATAGCAAGTGGACTTCATTTCATCTCTGAATTGATTGGTAAGGGCTACCCAGAGCTTTGTACCAAGAGAAAAAGTGAGCTCAGGTTCAATTAGTGATGCCTGCCATGAGCAAAGGAGAAGGCAATCAATGCTGTCAGTGAACTCTGAAGCATAAGGTACTATCAGAATGCCTAGGGAGCTTTTAAAAAATACCCATGCTTGGGCCCACCCCCAGAGATTCTGATTTAATTGGTCTGAGAAGAGACGCTGGCATTTGTGTTTTATTAAAAGCATCCCACTTGGTTCTATTGCTGCCGTCAAGATAAAGAACCACAGTAATATTCAGCATGAATTGCCATGCTATTTCTCAGCTGTTCCAGGAAATATTTTCAGGAATACTTTAAAACAATGAAATAAATCATCCAAAAATAAGTATTTTAATTTCTTATTCCTCATTCTTATTCCTCATTTCCTTAGTCTTTTAAAAATTTCTTTTTCAAACATGAGCTGCAGATGTTTGTTTTGTCTTAAGCCTTCAACAAACTGTTGACTTTAAACATGCTAATTGACACCAAATCTTCATCTTGCATAAAAAGACTTAAATTATTGATTTCTTTTTATATATCCATCAAATAATTACACTCAGAGACATGCATACCTCTGTAAAAGAATCATCTTTACCTACAGAAAACATTGCCAGAATGTATACATTTGCGGTGTGTGACACAGAAAATAATAATTCATTGTGCAATTGTTCTGACTTTATTGCTTGCTGCAAAATGATCTAGCAATGGCATGTTTACTGGCTATAGTATGTTACAAACTTGCATGCCATCTTGTGGAGGATGTTGCAAGTTATGCAACTATGAAGTAAACAACTGCCCCAAAAATATTTGTTTAAGCTATGATTGTGGTTTTCTCCAAATATCTGACTTTCATGTGGAGAATTAAAGATATTTTCTAGATAATTAAAGCTATTCTTAAAATCACTTTTCCATAATGATATAGTTGCTTCAAGCCAAATTGTTTTTTAGCTTGAATACCCCAGATAATTGTCTCCATTCTTAAGTTCATTTGGCCATTGTATGCCTAAACTAAATTACATTTCATCACATAACAAAATGTTCTAACATCATATCATATGACTCAAACCTTTCCCCCCTTTCTCTTGGTGTCACAAAAAGATAAAATTTTAAGATGGTGTTAGGG